TTTGGGGTTGGTATGGGGGTGTTCGTGGGGTTATTAGGGGTTGTGGACCCCAAAAAAAAATAAAAAAATTTGTGGGGTGCCGACGACCCCCGACCAGTAGGTGCCGACCAGCCGACCAGTCAAGGGTCGCCGACGGTCGGGGTGTACACTGCTGCTCAGGCTGTCGAGTTTGCTGTTCGTCAGGAAAGACAGAAGGAGATCCGATGACGTTTGCAGTAATTGTATGCCCAACTCTGCATGTGGGGCATGCTATGAGAGCATGTGGTGGATGATGGCATCGTGGATAGTCCACGCAGTAGAGGCACATGCTTTCTATGACAGCTTCCTGGAAACATTGATGACACATGCCATGTTGCTGACATGTCAGCAGGAAGGCAGGTTGACGTTCGCAGTTATTTAAGCATGGCAGATCAAGGCCACGGCGGCATATTGGGCAGGCGATTAGGGGGTGGGGGGGATGAACACAAGACAAAGAGTCGCAGTTTTCATGACAGAGGCTGGCAGTGTCCATCCCTTCATAGTGTTCGGAGCAGAGACTATGCACTATGCATGCTAGCTGAAATGTGGCTGTGTGGCCACAGAATGGAAGATCACAACCAACATCTTCTAAGGACGTTCTTTCATTGTCTGGAGCAGAATCTGCCCGATCTAGACAGGGAGGGGACACTGCTTGGTCATGTGCAGGGGAAGGAGGTAATTGCGCATCCGGATTGCTCTGCAGAGACTGAAGCATTTGTGGGTGCGAAGTAACATATTGTTCCTGAAGGACAATCCAAATTGATTGAGTATTTGCTACTTGGTTATAGGAGTTAATGCTACTTACCGTGTGCACCCTACCTCCATTGCCCCATAAGGCCCATGAATCGTCTGCATAGGTCAAAGCGCTGAAATGTCCTGGCCGATACAGGATGTACGCGCGAATATTTGAGTTCATGTCTGGCAAGTGGTTCTGGGCCACAGGCTGCAGTTGTAGTCTTCTACCCATATATGCCATAGACAAGACTTTTATGTTCACTCCAGGACCAGTACTGTCTTCTCTGGGCAGACAGCACGGTGCTCTTCTTCTATCCAGAGGACAATATCAGCAAAAAGGGTTACAGTTGTAAGCGAGGAGACATACATTGACAGCATAGTATGCGCAATAGCCTCGCTGCAGCACCATGAGATCATATGATTCTGCTGGTTGTGCGGTAGGGGGCAGTTCATTCAGTTCTGTGTTTGTGTGTGTGTGTGTGTGTGTGTGTGTGGGTGGGTGGGTGGGTGGGTGTGTGGGTGGGTGTGTGGGTGTGTGTGTGAGAGAGAGAGAGAGAGGGCACTTCCATCGATAGGATGAGCAAAATCGAATGAATCACACTGCTAGAACATCGAAATATACACTACTACATGCGTGTGTGTGTGTGTCTGATTCATTCCGATTTTGCTCATCCTATCGATGGAAGTAGCCTCTCTGTCTCTATGCGTGCACACAAAGAGAGAGAGAGAGAGAGAGAGAGAGAGAGAGAGAGAGAGTTTTCCATCAATAGGTTGAGCAAAGCACCGGCCAACAGGTAACTCTCCAACCCCACGGCTGGCCTCACGCTACTTGCATCGATAGGATGAGGAAAATCGAATGAATTTTCCGCTAGAACATCAAAACATACACTACTACACGCATGCGTGTGTGTGAGAGATGGCGACGACCTGATGCGCGGATTCTCGTGGGCACACCCTTTTTCCCACAGGCCCTGCGGCGTTTCGCCTCGCCGCACGCGACAGCCTCCTCCGGCTCCGCCTGTCCCGCCCTTTTTCCCATGGGCCCTGCAGTGTTTCGCCTCACCGCACACGACGGCCTCCTCCGGTTCCGCCCATCCCGTGATTTTCCGTGGGCCCACGACTGCGTGTGACGGCGGGACCGCTATAACTTTAAGGTGTATAGAGAAAAAGACGTTGCCGAGCTGTTCTGGGTTCTCATATTGCATGTGTTTCTTCTGTGCCGAGAGTGGCCTGCATGACATGCGGTGCTTATTGCAGGTGTGGCCCAGAGCATACCAATCAGTCTCATACATGATCCGTGGTCTACCACACCATATAAGAAAAGAAGTAAGAGAGGCAACTAACAGGTAAGGAATCCACAAGTTGATAAGCATGTGGAGGGAGGCAGCAAAGAGAGTGCATAGCAGGAAATGGAGGAAGTTAGAAAAAGAAGGGAGTTAGGCAAGGCAAAAGTCGCTATCATACCTCTGATATGTGGTCCATAAGGTAGGTGCTGCACACAATCTTTAGAGAATCCAGACCAAACTGGTCTGCTAGAAAGAGCAGAGAAACAAGGAAATCATCTTCCACCTCATCCTGCTCAAAGTCCAACTTCGATGTGTACATGAAGCCCAACAGTGCCTGCATTGCCTTGGGAGAAGTGTCCTCGAGATAGATTTCTGTTCCATGGCTTTCTCTCATTCCGATTGTAAACATCTGCAACCCATTGACACACAAGTTGACTGAGGCTAAACAATGGAGTCACTTGGGTAACAAAAACTCATAGATACATTTATGTTCCATGGCTTTCTCTCATTCCAATTGTAAACATCTGCAACCCATTGACACAAACAAGTTGACTGAGGCTAAACAACGAAGACACTTCGGTAATCATATCTCATAACAAAGCCTCAAGTCCATCAAGAAATAAAACAACAGATGCCCGATTGACAACACAATCTAACTGGTTGTCGCACCATGTTTTGTACCTCTCAAAATGGTCACGGATAGGAGGAGATTCTGCACAAAATGACACTGAGTGAATAGCTACTATATCTGGCCTGACTGAATCTAAATGATTGCTCTGATACAGCAATGTGAGTGTCACTGCCCCATGCAACAATCAAGGCTGCTACATACCAAGAAGCAGAGGACATTCCTCCCAGTATGTAACCTGTCCAGAATCTTTGAAACTGACCAGCTTTATCCATTTGAACTGTCCCCTCTCTCTCTCTCTCTCTCTCTCTCTCTCTCTCTCTCTCTCTGTGACAGGATTTCCCACGGCATACATGTCCCGCACCCTGGGCCCAGAGTCCCAGATGGTCCCAGACCCACCTAGGTCCCAGTAGGTCGAGTCCCAGTGCCATGGGGTCTCGTAGGGTGCGAGGGTCGAAGCATTGTAGTCCGGTCAGGTCCAGAATAGAGGCATCACAGACCAGTAGAAGTCCTACTCGAACCCGACAAGGAAAGTCCAGTCCCAAAGTCCAAAATTGCAGCAGTGTCCCAAGAAAGTCCAGAGACTCCCGGGGCCCGAACATGCAGTCGACAGGCCCCAGGCGACCGGTACACGTCCGAAGCAGGCAACACCAAGTCAATTGTTCTATGTATAGCTGCTACAGTAACAGCACAAATCATCAGTTCATTCGCGAGTTGCAGAAGAACTGCTGGTTGCTTGTGCGATAGTGCGACTTGCACAAGACTGGCGCTTGGTGAATAAGATAGCGCCTTGGCCTCCATAGTAAGGGTTAGGCCGGAGGAGGAAGGCGGCCATAGCCGCGAGTCCGAAGTTTGGGAGAAGCGGGTGTATCAAGGGGTAGCGATCCAAATAGGGGAGAGCAAGAGTGTGAGGCGAGCGGAACAAGTTCCGAGTAAAGTAGGTCGAGCGATTGAAGCCCTGAGAGAGAGACGGTCGGGTACTTACCAGAAGGGGATGTTGTTGAACGCAGTCAAGCCCCTGGTGACCTGAACTCGTTATAAAATGATATAATAGAGTGAGGTTTCCTGTTGTGCTGATTTGGTTTCCATATCTCGGCTTTCGTGTGAACTCTGATGTGAATGTTCTGCTCATGCATGTTGGTTCTCGGGGTTGATGTTTGGGAGGTTCATTGCATCTCTCTCTCTCTCTCTCTCTCTCTCTCTCTCTCTCTCTCTCTCTCTCTCTCTCTCTCTCTCTCTCTCTCTCTCTCTCTCTCTCTCAGGGCTTCAGGTGGCCTGCGGTGTTAGGAAGGTCCTTTGCGCAACGGCTGAAACAGTTAAGGGAGAGAGATTGTCACAGGGGAGAGGTGTGAAGTCATTGAGAGGAGGAGAACATAATCGGTATGCAACAAACTTCCATGGCATGCAGGTCAGGACTCCCAGATGGGCATGCTAGCCACAAGAGGTGTGCCTAAACCTGCCTGAAAACTTAATTCCTTTTTTTTTTTGTTTTTAATGGGCCGTACGGTCCATACCCCTTCTAAGACCCCACCCACCCTCCTGTCGTCAATTCTCCATGGTGTACCCCCACTCCCCCAGTCCTTCCTCGGTGTCTACCACTCAGGACAATCATCCTTTTACCATCTTGGCGGGTGAACTGACAGGAAAGAAGTTATAGGCACAGGGGTGAGCAGGAACCATGCTCAGCCCTGGTTGAAGCATGCTCGAACGAGCCCTGTTGTACAGGTACTTCGGGTGTTAGGCATAAGCACTCTCTATACTGGGCCCATGGGTGGACCCTCAGTGCGCCCCAAACTCACCTGATCACCCAGTGTCTAATGGACAAGGTCTAATCAAGGAGAGCTAGATGAAAGGGTTTCATGCATTTCTGTGCCTATGTCCCCACTGATCCCAAAATTCCCAAAGTCCCAAGTCACGTGTATCATAGCAAAACTGGTAGGCTCAGTAGTGCAGTCGCAGATGTAGGGTCTGTAGGCCGTTTGTACAAGTTTGTCCAGTAGGTTGTTGGAGGTCCAAGTCCCCAAAAATAGCAGGTCAGTCCAGGGAAAAACCAGTGCCCACGGGAGGAGTCAAGCAACCGCAGCCAGGGAGACCTAACGTAGGGTAGTCAACGGGGCAGGGCGCAAAAGCAGAGAGAGAGAGAGAGAGAGAGAGAGAGAGAGAGAGAGAGAGAGAGAGAGAGAGAGAGAGAGAGA